GTGAAAATAACATGTTATTTTCACGTGTGAAAATAACACCATTGCGATGGCTATTCAAAAATACACGGAAAGAATTGCCTGAAAAAGCCAAAACATATTTCATTGATAATTATATAATAAACAGAATATTACATGGGCGCTTGGAGATACGAAATTTATCTTCTCGTGTTGAAAATCTCTCACTCGTTCGCTGCGCTCACTTGTGAGAGATCTTTTCAACACTCGAAGATAAATTTCGTATCTCCGCGCGCCCATGCAATATCCTCTATATCTCCAGTTTATACAAAATACAAGACCTGTAACTTTGATGCTAATAACTATCGTCTGACCAGCTTGCATAAACAAAATTACTTCACTCGTTCCTTTTTTCCAAGAGTATTTAAGCTCTGGAATAAAATTCCATCACATTCTAAAAACCTAAACTTAAAAGCACTTCAAAGACATTTTATATAAGATGTACTACGATGAAATGCTAAAGTACAAGCCACCATTGTCTATTCATTGACTTGACTTTCGTGTGTCTTTTTTCTCATTTTTCTCAWGTGTATTTTTTCTTTTCATATTTTTCTAGAACTCAACCTGTGTAATTTATAAAGTCATTTTGTATCTCAATTTTTAGGGGATATTCAATTGACATGCAATTGGGGCCTAGTCCTGTGACTCTATCCCTGCCATTGTGGCAAATTGATTAAAATGAAATAAACTAATTTAGCCAATCACTGACAGAGGAAATTGTCATTAGTAGTTGCCTCTTGGAAACTTTGATTGYGAAGTCTGATCAGACAATTGTTGAAAATACCTTGTTGGATATTCGAAACAGTAAGATCATCCTAAACAATAGCATTTGCATATGCTAATAGCCATGTATTATTAGTTACTGAGAATCACTTACTTCTTAGAGAGTTTTCCAGGGTCCAGGGGATCATTCTCATCCTCTGATAAAGGATCTACTGAAGGCCCTTCCTCACCTTCCTCATCTGGGTCCTTAAATCTGTTGTATGGTGTGGGTGGTTCATTGATTTTCATGTGCCCATAGTCTTTGTCAGGTGGGTGGTATGTCATAAGTATGTTCATTTCATCCCATTGCACACCAGAACTGCAAAACAAACATAAATTATCATTCAGATTCAGTTTCGTAAGACTGAAACCATTACAGTGCGACTACTCCAACCAAAGCCACCTCGACAAATTTTCTACAAATTAGCCAATCAAAAGGAGGAATCTGAACAATAGAATTGCTACAAATCAGACAAATATCCATGGGTTTACACGGCTGAGAAAACTAACGGCAGCTTTGTTGTTAAATATAAACGTACTGTCGCATAGCAACATGGTGATAAGATCTAACAGTGTCAGCCTGATTATATCTTTGTCTGGAAGAAACAAACTGTAATCATAAAGACTGTGTTTTATACGGTCTCTAATTTGCCTTCCTGTCCTATTTGAAGTCGTACATTACTATTTTTCTGTATCTTTGGTGACACAAATCACTAATTTGCAAAGAAAATATATTACAAGCTCTTCTTCATTATTTAGTTTTACCAACCGGATCAACAGAAGAATATCTAAATTCAAATTTTGCTGCTAATCTATTAGTATACGAAATAGGACTCCATGCTGTCCAATTAAGAAATAATTGGAGGAGGAAAATTCCGAGGACTTCCAAAATTGGATGAGGCCGTAGGCCGAGTCCAATTTRGCAGTCAGAGGAATTTTTCAAGTCTAATTATTTCTTGATTGGGGAGCATGAAATTCCATTACCTATTAATTATATACCTGCCTAATTAATCCCATATCAACAAGACCTGTCCAATAAAGTAGAGAGAATAAGAGAAAAATATCAAATGCCCTTGGCAGGATTCGAACCCACGTCTTCGGTATTC